TCGTAGAAACCCAGAGAGAATGATGCCCCATATCCTCTTCCCTTTCTTACTGTTATTGGCCAGTTACTGAGTTTCCTACCCCTCCTACCCCCCATCCAGAGGAACTGACAGCACTGACGCAGTCAAGTCTAGCAAACCCAGCCCCATGACTCATGGGTCTGCACAGAAAGCCCGTGACATCAGTTTCCAGGAAACTTCCATGACCAAATTGCGCTTTGCTGTGGTCACCTCCCACGTACCAATGTGGAAAACAGGGATGAACTTTACCCTTTAATTTCCTCCAAGCAAAAAGCTTGGGCTGCTAAAGTGTCTTATGGACTTCTAGTTCCATCCCTCTCTTTTCTCTGACCTGCACTTGCAACACCATCTAATCTAGTCTTCAGTTTAATCAAGCTTTGAAGTAGTTAAGGTTGCATAGAAGCTTCAACTCTTGATCTCTAACCTTATCTGATCCAATTTTGAGGCCAATCTGGAGCCACAGCAAGACAGGTTTGGTGTTTCACAGATCATTATGTTTATGAGATATTAATGTGCTCCTCAAAAAAAAAAAAAAAAACCAGAAGCAAACAAAGCAGTAGAGATTGAGATTGAGAAGGTTCCATGGTCAAATAATTTTGGAGGTAAATGGGATTAAGTAAAAATAAAAAACAATAGTTACTAAATAGTTTTGTTAATGAGTGACTTCTAAGACACTTGTTGTATGCTAATGTACATCATGGGTCTCTAAGAGAAAAGTATACTTATATAATTACAAACATATTCTTATATTGAAGATTACTTATTAATAGCTCAAAGAACTTAGTGTTCCATGGAACACAGTTTGATAAACACTAGCTTTGGAATCGGACAGGTCAAATTTTGAATTCTGGCAGTGCCACTTACCAGAAGTGTGGTCTTAGCAACTTGCTTAACCTGTTCAATTTTCACAATTTCCTCATCTTTAAAATAAGAGTATTAATACCTACCTCATAGATTGTTCTGGGGGTTAAATGAGATAATATTTCCTGGATGGCTCAGTCCCTGAGTACCCAATTCAGTGAATACTGACAAGAAGATCATGTTCAGAGCTAACCTACCAGTCCATTCCTAAGGGTGACCCTGAACTTTCTAATAGATTTCTAGAAATAAAATACATCAGGGAACAGAAGGTCTTTAATAATCCTTTGCTTGTTTCATTTCTTGGAAATACCTTTTTAAAATAAGTTTTATGTGCCCTTTGTAAAAATTCAAACAATAAAGAAAAGTACAAAGAAGAAAACATAAAATCTTCTGAAACCCCATCTCCCAGAGATAACCACCATTAACAAATTTGGTGAAATTTGCCCAGACATTTCTCTATATACCTATCTGTCAATTTACATACAAGAGCATGGTATTCAGCAAGGTAATTATGGATTCCTATCCATTTCTATATGGAACCTATAGAGGCCTTTGGTTCCTCAGTAAAGAAAATTGAGGCTGTGATGAACAAATATATTTTCTAAATAGGAGGAAAAATCTGTTCTCCATGAGGGACCCAAATTAAGACCTCCTTGTCCAAATAAATTTAGATAGATGACAGGTAGTTCATTGAACCCCAGTGGTATACACACCGAGGTATTACAATAGTTATTTTTAGAGGAACAAATCATGGGATAATTAATGCCTCTATTTGTTCCTGATATAGAGTAAATACTAAGCCATGAGTTCAAATTTACCTGAACAAAAGATATGAGGCACCAAAATCATTTCTCACCCCTTTCCTCAATCTACATCTCCTGAAATAAAAAATGTCAAACAAAAGCTTGGCAAATTAAATATATATCAACTATTTGATTTGCTACAATATTGGTTTCAGATTGATTGGATTTACAATTAAGTTGTATTTTTATGTTTGCTTATGTTAAAATGCACTGGAAATTTATTTATGTAAACAAAGAGCACAGTCTAATGATGCCTGTTTAAGAAGGAATATCTAAGAAAAGGAAATACAGTACAGGGTGGAGGAAAGAGCATTTGATACAGAATCAGTAAACATTCTAAATAACTAGTTAAGTAATTTTATAATTTTAGACAAGTCCCTTTACCTAAAAATAAGAAGATTGTAAAGTTACAACAGCTAACATTTATTGGGCTCTTGCTATAAGTTAGAGACTTTATATGAACCTAAATAATCTCTAAGCTCCCCTTAAGCACCAGCATTCTAATACTTGGAACACGGCACTCTCGTTTTAAATAATTATAGAAATATATCTTCATAGCATCTTCTCTTTTACAACAGTTCTTAGCCATAGCTGTGACGTATTGATGCTACTGCTTGGGTAGGAACTCCACTGTGTGCTCATGAAATGAATAATGAGTAGAAAGGACTTGTCTCTCCATCCCAAAATAGAGATTCATGGCCTCCACTCTGGGTGTTCACCCATTTGCTTCAGAAACACATATATCTTCCTCTTTCCCAACACCTACTTTCAGACAGGCTTCCCAGACTGACCACCCAACCTCCAGCTGCAATCCTCCTCTCCTCTGCCCCAGTAGCCACCATGGAGGCCAGCTCTGCACAGCTGTCTGGTTTCTCTGGTTACTTTACTTCAGTGCTCTGCACCTGCAGTGGCAGCTGGGTCCTGGGAGCTTGCTGAGGGCAGGTGCCCAGTTTCCAGGGCCCAGGATGATCTGTACACAGTGAATGCTCACTCAGTATAAGTAGTGCTATGGGCTGACTAATCTAGATGCACAAACCAAACCACTGTAACTAAATTAACACAGTATTTCCTGGAACGGAAGCTGAGAGAAAGAAGATAGATGTAACCTCTCAAAAAGCTCCATCCTGCCTTCTGTTGTAGGGGAAAATCTAGGTTGAGGAGAAAGAAAACTGCCTCTTCAGTCTCGTTTCAAGCCATTTCCCATCAATTCTGTCTCAGACATAGCCCCTTCAAGGGTGAGGCCCAGGACCTGCCAGGTCAGTGATCTTCCCCTCCACTTTCAGGTGCCAAGTAGAAGCAAGGGCTTTCCACTGTCTGTGGGCCTGCAAATGTGGCTTGTTGTACTGCAGCCTCACTTGCTTACTTTCATTTCTCACATGCCTGGGGGTTCACACCTCTTTGACTTTGCCCTCTGTTTGGAATGCCATTACCCCCAGTCTCCATAGCAACTCATACTTCTTTGAAAGTGAACCCAAGAAGACTCCACCTCTCCCAGGGAGTCTTTGGCATACTCCCAAACTTCTCCTACATTTCGTGCATATTCTCCTTCCATTACAGAAAAGAGCACATTGTGTTGTATTTGTGTATTGCTGTGTCTGTCCTCCATGCTAGACTCCACAAGCACTTTGAGACTGATGACTACTTCAGTTATCTTGTGTCTCCAGCACTGTGCACAATGCCTGGCCACTGGTATGTTGTGGGTGGGATTGGGAAAGGAGAATAGGAGTCTGAGGGCCTCTGGGCAGTCAAGGGTCAACCAGAGATCATAAGAAACCAAGATCCAACAGAGTTTGTCCTTTCTAGTTTGTTCAGTGAGCAAAGATGAGGTAGGTCACTTAGGTGGTAACAGTAAATGTGAAGGGATGGGCTTTGAATCATTCCTTATGCATGTAAAGGTACTCAGTCCTTTCACTTAAAAGCTAAACATTCTTAACTGGCCTACATAGAAAACAGGAAATTATGTTTCAATTCAGCCTCTACTACCATTCAACCGCAATTTCAAAACACTGAAGATTCCACTTGAGATTGAGAAAGCAAAACGTCTTGTTCAACCAGCAGCTTAAATTCTGTCTTTACTCAGCTCTCTTCCAAAGCACCTACATAGTGTGATATCTCTTATCTCACACAGGAATTCTTTAAGCGCAGAACTCGCCTGGACTAGTCTACCTTACACCTCCCCCTCCCCACCAATACCTTCCAAAGCACAATGCTGGCCTCAGGAGGTGCCCAACACCTGCGTATCAAGTGAATTCATTAAAAAGTCTTGTCTTTATTTTTAAATTCAAGGTTCAGTAGCCACTGACCTTTGGGAATCTGGAGCCCTCTGCTCCATTGCTATCCTTCATTCTTAGGTGGGTAGATACGGTCCCAGGGGACTTTCCTCTCTTCCTTCCAGGGCATAATCAAGTGAGATTCTAGAAGGTCTTGGAAGAAGAAAGCTCTGATGCAGTTTCCTGTGTTGACCAGCAACTGCTATGGTGGTCACAGAAAGTCAGGACCAAAGCTTGGCTATCACTACTGAGTCTGTGTAACCTCGATCATTAGTTATGGCACATGACTTGGAAATTATTGCAAAAGCAAGTTTTGTGGGTTGCCTTTCATAAGTACATTTAATATTATGTCTATCAATATTCATGGTTTGTGCATGAAAAATAAGTTAATTTGGGGGAGCTCTGAGGATCACAATGTTCTTCCTGCTCTTTGAAAGCCAGCAAACCTCTTTCACCTCTTTAGCTTTCATTTCTTAAAATACAGTTACTGAACACATCCTGCTGTTGTGAATTTTAGCTGTCCTTCTCTTTAGAGGCTCTGAGGAGTCACAGTGGGGGTCACTAACTTTACTTTTGAAAATTGCTCAAATGAAGAAGATCCACATCTCCCAGTTTCCTTTCTAAATGGCTCTCGCTGTGGGTTCTCTCCTCACTTTAAAATCACAAGACCAATGTTCTAAAAAGTAGAGCACATAGGAAATTAGCCCAACTTCATCTCACACAAAAAGCTCCAGACATCAGAAATTACCACACACAGTAATTCAAGTTCCGTAGCAATTTAAGCACATGAATGCCCTGACCCAAAGAGATACCAGATAATGGGAGCCCGGTAAAGTAAAAGTATTCCTGGCCTGGTTGCCTTTGCGGGTATTACTAGAATCTTGCTGATCTTTTTTACTTTCTGCACTAAATATTTTTGAAACAGAAGTTGCAGGACATTTTTGAGTTACTAGAGAGGTACATAGAGAATTCTAAGAAGATGCCCTGCCCCATATAAAATGGTTCGGAGTTTTGGTCTCAAGCCAGGTTAAAACGCCATCAATCTTACCTTTTGCAGGCACTGTTTCTCACTCTTTCAGGCAGAATTTGGTGATTGTCCTTGAGGAGGCAACGACAAGGCTGAGGACGTCTGAGGCTATTTGTGTAAAAGGAGAAGTGAAGGGAGAAAAAAATTGTTCACACTGTGACGACAGGAAGCCAGATGAGAACAGGGAGGAAGTGAGGCTGGGTCCACCCTCTTCAGCCTCAGAGATTCAATCCTCCCTCAGTGGCTTTTTAGAATCTTTTTTCCACAGCCCACCCTAATCTTTCTATGGAACAAAGGAAACCCAAAGGTCAAATTGGTTCGGGTATTAATTTGTGAGCACTGGTGGTTTCTAGAGTGATTTTGGTGATTTTTGTCTAGAAAAGGACAGTGTTTCTCATTCAAGGTGACACCTCAGAATTACCTGTGGATCTGTTCAAGAATACATATGCCTGGCCCCGCCTCCAGTGTTTCCCATTCAGGTAGACTGAGACTAGAGTGGCACACAAGAATCAATATTTTTAAGTTTCTAGAACTGACACTTTGGGGGTCCCTCTCAAGGTACTCTGCTCTCTCCCCACCTTCCCTCCAGCTGGCATCGGGCAGTCTCTAGGCTCCGCTTTGATTGGGTACCAATAAGATTTCTGTCTCAAAAGCAAGATTGTCCTTATGTGAGGGTATTGCCAGGGGAAGACCCCAACACGAGACCCAAGGGGCACTGGCAGAAATGATTTGGTTAGCCAAGGGAAGACCAAATTTAGAGTCCAATCATCTGAGTTTCAGTTCCAGCTTTTCTCTGTTCACTGTGATATCTTGAGTAAATCTCAGCATCTCAGCCTCAGTTTATAAAGAGTAACATCTAATAATACTCCGACTAGTTACTGTTGTATCCCTATTTATAGATGAGAAAGTAGAAGTTAAAAGAAGTTGGATAATTTGCCCAAGATTACACAACTATGAAATGACAGAGCCATGCTGTTTGAGAAACAATGTGACCAGTAGGTTTTGAAAAATGTATTTCCAATTTTCATTCTTCTGCATCTACTACAATTTTCTTAGATTGAAAGGGTTGAGGGACTAGGTGACAATCCAAATGTATCATTAGCCAGCTGTGAAACTTGAAACTAATCACTGAGCCCCAATTTCTTCATCTGATGATGGAAGAGATGGCTGACACTCTTTCCCCAGTGCTTGAGTTGGAAGCATGCAACTGGGAGAGAGAGCTGTCTCCCTCCTCCTTCATTCTGAGACATTCAGATTCTCAAGTCATCCCTTAGTGGGGCTGGTTCATGAGGAAAACTGAGTTAAACAAAGATGAGAAAAGACTTTACTGTAGAATTTGTCAGTTCTTAATATTCTCTAGGCAGGGGATATAGTATGTAGATTTTCCTAAACTTATTTGACCACGGAACGTGTGTGTGTGTGTGTGTGTGTGTGTGTGTGTGTGTGTGTGTGTGTGTGTGTGTGGTTTTTCTTGGGGAATAGTTTTTCAGCATAAATACACTTTGGTAAATGGTATTATAAACTCTCCTCTCCTTGGCTGGGATCACTGCCCCTGACCCAGGGCTGCTCCCAGGCTGACAGGTCCCTGCAGTGGTAGAGTGCAGGAGCTGAAGAAAGACTTCTAGTTGGACTCACGTTTTTTCAGTTATCTCACCCATTCTGATGGGTTCAATTACTATCTCTCTGTTTCAAAGATTCACAAATCTATATACACAACCTCATCTCTCATTTGAGCTCCACATGCATATATTCAAATGTCTCTCAGGCACCTCAAATCAGTATCCAAATTCCGTTTAATAAACTCGGCATCCCACACTCAAGCCTGCTCCTCCCCCGGAGTCTACCATCTCAGGGAAAGAAAGGTCCGACTAGCTTCCCAGGTGCCCATGTCAGAAACCAGGTGTTCTCTTTGGCTACTGTCTCTCTCACTCCCACATTGCAACCTATTATCAATTACCAAGTCCTGTAAATTATACCTTTGCCTCAATATTTCCCAAATCAAGTGACTTCTCTCCAGCCCCCCACACTAATTCTTATCTCTGATTTGGGTTACAGGATCCCAGCCTCCTTCAGGACCAGGAGGAGAGGAGGAGAGATTTCTAAAATTCAAATTTAATCACATCACTTCCCAGCTTAAAACCCTCATCTAGCTACTCTTTCCCCATCTCCTCCCCCAGGGTCCCCACCCTGGACAACACTGAATAAGGAATTCCTTTGAGTTGCTTGAACAAGTCAATCTAGTTTTCTCTCTCTCTCTCTCTGTCACTCTCTGTCTAGAATATCCTCTCACCTGTTCACCTAACTAATTCCTGCTCATCCTCCGTATCATAGTTCCTCCAGGAATCCCTCCAGGCAGGACCAGGCACTCCTGCTACATGCTCCTGTTGTCCACAAGCGTCCCCCCACTCCCTATCATTCATTGTCTTTGTCTGTTTTCCCCCACTAGACTCAAAGCTCTGTAGGCTTTGCATTGTCCTATATATATTGACTGATCTTGCTCATGATTGTATTTTTAGTGCCAAGTATCGTGTTTTACAATCGGAGATGCCCTATAAATATCTGGATAGCTTCAGAAAATGTGTGGCCAGAAAGCTAGGAGAACCAGAGATTTGGGATGAGAAGAGAGACTAAGAGAAAGAAAAAGATAAATAGAGCGGAGGGAGAAGTGGTTATTAAAGAGGTGATCTTAAGAATAGCAGGAAGAATATATCAGATAAGAGTTGCTCATAGCAAAAGTAGATGACCATTTTAATGGAGAAATTTTTTCCTTTAATGTGCCTCTCTCCATCATCCCTCTGGGAAGGGCTGAACTAAGAGCTTGACGATCAGAGGTGGCTGTTGCCTGGGAGTGGGAGTGGGGGTGGGATTGCACCTACTTATACCCAAACCTACAAGATTTTATTGAGAATTAATGTTGTTTCTGACCATCAAATGTTTACAATCCATTTGGAGGGACAAGAACAAAAACAAATGGAGAATAAGACAATGTCAGGGCACCACTTGTTGAATAATCCAGAAGAAAGCTCAAAAACTTTGAAAAAACTAAATTAGAAAAGGGATTTAGCAGAAACTCAAGCTCATGGTCTGGCCTTCTCAGTGCATGTCATATTGATCAACCAACACAGGTGATAATGGAACCTGGGAGTTTAGGAGACTTGAACTTGGCCAGAGAGTAGGGATACAAGTTATTGCTGCTCCGTTATCGTGCAGCAGTACCCGCCAAAATACATCCTGAATGGACAAAACCATATGATGTTGGGAAGATCATTGGGTCCCCATTTAGGCCTTTTTTTTAAGCCTCCTGGGTGAGTGAGTCTGTTTTTATTATTAAAAAGTAATCACTATTGAAATATGAGAAGAATACAGACAGAACTCCCAAGATTATTTCAGCAAGTTACTCAAGTAAGCAAGGATATTAGGACTTTGGAGGCATAGATGCATTTGAGAATTATAAGACTGGAAACTTCAAGTGGGAGATTAAAGTTAACTAGTAGCACATTTTATTTTGCCTTATGGACTTTAAGGTTAAAGTTCTGAAGAGAGCACAACAGAACATCATTTTAAAAAGATGACTCATTATGCAATTTGATTACTGTTATAAGTTATATCTTAGAAATAAATATAAGTGCTTAAAATTCTAACATTTGGCTTCATATCATTTGGATATTTTTGGAGTTTCAAAAATCATTCATATTGAGAAATGAATTAAAATCCGGGTTTCATAAATTGGGTATATATGGTCAAGAGCCCATATCGTTCCTAGGGCCTAAATCAATTTATAGAAGAGAAGTCATTACAGAGATTCAGGAGGCTTAAAAACAGAGTGTTGGTAGCTGCGACATACAAAATCATCTACAAAAGCTGGTCATCCTAGGAGCTGTAGCCTTCTCCAAACATTCACTCCTTATTCTCCTCTCAGCCAGGGCACAGCAACTGTCCTTGATCTTGCAGGGGTAAATTAAGCCAAACTTGACCCTCATGTTTTTGTATATTTTTTTCCAGCAGAGAAATAAAGGAAGCTATAAAAAAGGAAAGGTCTAAGATTTAAAAAAAAAAAAAAAAGTACATGTTTGTGTATGCATATATAGCAGCAAAAGTCTCTATTCAAATTAAGTTTTAAATGGAACAGCAATAAATAGGGTAGACAAAAGCAGAACTGCTCAGGGAACAGAGGGGTGGGGTTCAGAGACTGCTCACCCTCTTCCCTCCTTTGGTGGCTTCTTAAGTATCTTTGCCCAACTCAAAGGATAGAAAACCACTGGTCCAGTAGGTCAGACTTTTGGGTTCCTTGCCAGTGCTGGGTTTATTTTCAGTTGTGGGACCATGGATTTGACCCCTCCGGTCCTACACCCTCATTAACTTGGTAGGAGACTCCCCAGGCTTCACGTTTCTTTGTCATGTCTCAATGGAAATAGGAAGCCAATTCTGTACCCAACACTTCCCCTCCTGTTGGGAGGCTGGAAGTTGTGGCTTTCTGCAGAGGGAATAATGGGGAAATATTTCTCCCAGCTGACAGAGGTTTGTTGACCACAAAAATATTGAGGCTTTGCTATCTGATTCAAGGCTGTGAAACATCTAGGAGGCCCATTGTGGGGCTCAGGGATGGGGAGGGATGTCAACAGCTCTGGCTTGTGCTATGATGCACTACACTGTCTCCCTGGCAAGTGTAACAAAACGGGGATCCTAGAGGCAGTTCTGCCATGTACAAGGGAATTTCCTTATGGGTCTCTGGGTGAGGAAAGAAGGAATTGAGTTAGTAGGTGATGCGGTATTGGGGGGAAGGCCTGGAATCAGAAACAGAAGTGTTGGATTCTAGCCTTTGTTCTATAATTGCCCAGGGAAACTCCACTTGATCCCCTAGGGGATTACTTCCCTACCTGTGAAGTAATCTGGGCCTTAAAAATTCTGGGCCTTAAAATTTTCTCTCTGGGCCTTAAAAATTCTGAGCATTTATCACTTTATAATGCCAAAAATGAATTTCTACTAGATCATAGTTTTGGCTAAGATTTGGTGCAGAAGGTGAAATGTAAAATAGTTACAAGAGCTTTTGACTTACCAAACTCTTTCTATGGGTGATGGTGTACTGTACACATTCTCACTTAGTAGCAGTATGAAATAGGCATGGCATTTTCTCCTTTACAAATAAGAGAGGCTAAGGTCAGTGAGTTCTGGTAACTTACCAAAAGCCACACTGCTAGAAAGGGGCAGAGCTTGAATTCAAAACTTGCCCATGGCTCAAAGGCCTGTTCTCCTATCCAGCTATACGGCTTCTCCCAAAGCTAATCTGACATCGACACCTGCTGTAGATGAGCCACTTGCAGATAATTGAAAGCTGACAACTTTTACTTTCACTGGAGGAACACTAAAATAACCTCAACAGTATTCCCCTAGTTTACAAGAAAAGCACGAAGAGGGCATTCTCTCTTCATAAAGCAAAGCCTGAGAATTTCAGACACTCAGTACTGTCTTATATGCGCTGTTTCCCAGCCAGGATTTTGAGTGGCCTCCATGAATGGTAAACATTATCTCTTTGTTTAACTTAAAAAGAGAAAAGTTTAGGTATGAGATAATCCTATCCTCAGCACTAGGGGATCATAACTTATAGGAGCCAGAAAAGGATTCAGGCAGCACCTGCATGTGCAATGCTGACCTCAGCTTTTCTATTTTGAAGTCAGCTCAGCTCTTTAGAATTGCAAGGAGCTAAGCACTAACACACGTCCCCCACACGCTATGTTCTAATTACTGGGAGCATTTGCCAGCAGGAAGAGGAGTGAGTACAGACAAGAGCCTGGTAGAAGGCCTGGCAGGAGGAGGTGGCACTCAACAAGTATGAAGCCCTAACTTCCAATGAGCCTACAACAATGGTAGCAGAAGAGAGAGAGCACTGGGGACATTGTCTGGGTCCTTTGTCTAGCATCATTTCCTTGAATCTTCATTTTCCCACTTCTAAGTCTTAGAGTGCAAAGGATTAGAAGATACTTTTCCTAGGCCAAATCTACTCCAGAGAAAGAAACTGAAGCACCACATTCTTGATGTACAATTAACATATTAATAATTATTATTATTTTAAAATAGATTTATTTTTTTAGAGCAGTTTTAGGTTCACAGCAAAACTGAGCAGAAAGTACGGAGAGTTCCCACATATCCTCCGCCCTACACGTGCACAGACTTCCCCACTGCAGTAACACATCATTATCACCCATTCATTCTATAGGTTTGAACAAATGAATAGTGACACACATTCACCCTTATAGCACCATCCTGAGTAGTTTCACTGCCCTAAAATTTCTCTGTGTCTGCTTATTCATCCCTCCCTCCCTTCTAACCTCTGGCAACCACTGATCATTTCACTGTCTCAGTAGTTTTGTCTTTTCAAGAATGTCATACAGTTGGAATCATACAGTACGTAGCCTTTTCAGATTGGCTTCTTTCACTTAGTAATACACATTTAAATTTTCTTAATGCCTTTTCGTGGCTTGATAGTTCATTCCTTTTTAGCACTAAACAATATTTCATTGTACAGATGTGCCACAGTTTATTTATCCATTCACCTACTTAAGGACATGTTGTTTGCTTCCAAGTTTTGGCAATTATGAATAAAGCTGCTATAAACATCCATGTGCAGGGGGGGGGGGTGATGGAAATAAATTTTCAACTAATTTCAGTAAATACTAATGAGCATGCTTGCTGAATTGTATTGTAAAATATGTTTCGTTTTGTGAGAAATTGCCAAGTTGTCTTCCAAAGTGGCCATATCATTTTTCACTCCCAGCAGCGATGAATGAGCGTTCCTGTTGCTGTCCATCCTCATCAGCATTTGGTGTTGTCAGTGTTTTGGATTTTGAACATCCTAATAGGCGTGTAGTGTTGATCTTGTTTTTTTTTTTTTTCAATTTTGACTCACAAGTGTAATTTTATATTTATATAGGTAGTTTTACATTAGTTATTTGACTAATGTTTTTCTTTCTCTTACAGACTGTGAGTTCAGGGAGAGCAGGTACTGCCTCTGTTTTTGCCCATCATTTTATCACTGTATCTAGCACATAATGAACCTTGATGAGTAATTAAATGAATTAGTGAACAGCCTTACCAGTTCGTTTTGGATGTGGGCTTTTACATATGCATCCAAGTCTACTGGAGATAATGTAACAGAGTCTGACTTGTTTAGACCATATCCCTGGCACACCAGTCCACCTGAGGCTGTCAGACTCATCAGTATCCACAGCCATGTTCAGAGGCATCTGTTCATCTGGTTTAGGGAGCTCCTGGTTTAAGAAGTTGCCTTTTATTTAAAATTTAAATGAGACAACCCTGTTCATCAATCCTTGGGCAAAAACAGCTCTATTCCTTTTTGCATCATCTGAGGAAACCTGATTTCTTACTCAAGCACTTCTTCAGAGCTTTGTGGATGTCTCTATTTCTGAGGCTGTAGATGATGGGGTTGAACATGGGCGTCAGGATAGTGTAGAGCATGGAGAGCCCTCTGTGAAAGAGTTGGGAAGAGTTGGCTGAGGGCACAAGGTATGTGGCAATCAGCGTCCCATAAAACACCACAACCACAGTGAGATGGGAAGAGCAGGTGGAGAAGGCCTTTCTCCGGCCTGTGCCACATGGGATTCTTAGGATAGCAGCAAGGATGCAGGCGTAGGAGGCTGTGATGAGGAGAAGTGGGACCAGGGTCACTGCAGAGGAGGTGGTAAAGGCAATGGTCTCAGTCAGTGAAGTGTCCGTGCAGGAAAGATGGACCACAGGAGTGAAGTCACAAAAGAAGTGATCAATTTCGTTAGGTCCACAAAAGCTTAGTCTACACAGCAGGACCATGGTGATTGCTGTGAGGAGGAAGCAGCAGAGCCAAGAGCTGGCAGCCAGCCTGATGCAGAGGGAGCCGGTCATGAGGATGGGGTAGTGGAGAGGTTGGCAGATGGCCAGATAGCGGTCATAGGACATCACAGCAAGCAAGAGGCATTCTGTTGCAGCCAGGGATCCAAAGAAGTAGAACTGTGCAAGACAGCCAGCCACGGAGATAGTTTTCTGTTCAGCTATGATAATCAGCAACATCTTGGGGATGATGTTGGAGGTATACCAGATCTCCAGAAAGGACAAGTTCACCAGGAAGAAGTACATGGGGGTGTGGAGGTGACGGTTGAACAAAACTAGGAGGACAATGAGGATGTTTCCAGAAACAGTTAAGATGTAGAAAACGAAAAACATCATAAAAAGGGAAATATTTAGCTGTTGGATGGAAGAGAATCCTCTAAGCACAAATTCCACTCTCATTGTTTGGTTTTCCCAGGACAGGATCACCATGCCTCAGTTTCCCTAAAAGAAGAATATCCAGTGATACAACATGCAAAATGCAGAAAGTTCTAACTTATACAAGGAACATGGACAGACAGTAAATGATTTTTATTCCCCACCCAGGTTTTTTATTTGAGTAGAGAGAGATCATCTTTTTGTTTTAAGGTCTAAAATGGGAAAGAAAAGAATTTGAAATAAGAACTTGTGATCATAATACCCCTTTTTTCTCCTCCCTTGTATCATCACTTCATCAGGAGCAATGTCAGTTTGGGGGAAACAGAAGAAAGAAGGTGAACACAAAGGGGAAGGAGGACAAAGAAAGGGAGGGAGAATCACCTCCTCCATGCCCTTCGTGAATGTGCTGTGGTAGTCTGTGGAGCTATGGGAAGAAAGGAAGAAGATCTAGAAGGGAGGTGGGACGTAGAGGAGGATGAGGAACATATTCTGGAGGGTTTGTGAACTCTCAAAGAAGAATAGAGGGTCAGGGATCCAAGACAAAGAACCCCCTTCCCTCCCATCTCAAACGCTGTTTATCTTTAGGAAAATGACCCCTGTCATACTAATTGTGAATTCCTCTCCTTTCTGCTTCTTAGTGAGTTGGGAGAGAAGTTTCGTATTTCTGTTTTGGTTTCCATGTACTGTGAAGAAAGAGTGAGGTTCAAGGTTCTCTGATTCTGTAGTCAGTTTCTATGTTGGTGTAACCCAGGAGCAGGAGTGCTTTCTGTCACAATTTTTGATAAAATTAGATCATTAAAAAGATATTACCTAGGGCTGCAGTAAATGAAAAAAAAAAAAAACCAATTCAGAACCAGGTGGCCTAAGGCACTGTGTGCAACCAGCTGAGAATAAGATTGTCTTGGATTCTTTTGAGTGAGTCAAGGAAGCCCAATCTCCTCTTCAATCCCATCTTGGTCAAAGCTATATACCCCACCAGAAAGCTCAGGGCAGTTAGAGAATCTGCCCAAAATAACATTCGTATGGCCATAGGCAGGATCTAAAGCTGAACCCACTTTTATATTCTCAGCCTCCTTATATTGGATCTGCATTTCCTTAAGGTAGTAATGGAGGGACCAGGCGGCTGCAGGGAAGCAAGTGGTGATAGGAAAATCCATCTACAGGCACAGAAAGCACTGTACGGGTGTATTAATAAGGTAATTACCACAAGTAGCCAGAGAGCCCTTAACAGAGCCAGGAGCTCTGCTTTATAAGAGTCAGACTTTGAACAAGTTGTTTAACTTCTCTGAGACACAGTTTTCCATCTGTAAAGTGAGATACGGGGCTAGAGAAGAACTTAGCATGTGACTAGCATGCACAAAAAAGCATATAAATGAAAAGATTGGGAAATCACTGGCTATTCATGGCTTCAGGCATTACTTAAGCTTACCACGGCATTGCCGTTACTTTGAAGTGGCCACTGGCAAAAAATCCATCTCCTTTGCAATATCTTGCACCGTGTGTGTGCATGTAATTGTGTGAGTAATTAAGCTATTCCGGCTATTGCTTATCATACCAACAGCCTTTTGGCAATACACTGATCCCATTTTAAAATTGATCCAGTGTCCTAGAGACCATCCCACGGAACACTAGTTTCAGCTTTCCAAGTGGATTACAGAACTAACCTGGAATCTGTGCTGCCCAACAGTCCTGGTCCCCAGAGGATACCCAGCAATTGGTGATTCAGATCCTGAGCTCATTGAGAGGAACATGGGGAAGGCTCAAAGAATTTCTCTCCATCCCCTGCAAAGCACAAATAATGAACTGAGATCTCAGACAGAGGGCTTTGGATCTGACAGAACACAGCCAGCCTCCTCGATGCTGCTGCTGCTGTTGCTGCTAATGCTGATGATATTACTCTATCACAGCACTGTTCGCAGTGCTGAAAATACATAACTCATTTAGTCATCCCAACAACCCTGTGTGGCAGGTAGTCTCATCATCTTCACTTGACATGGAGGCACAGAGACATTAACTAACTCACACAGGATCGTGCTAGAAGGTGGCAGAGATGGGATTTAGACTCACTGTCGATCTCTCACACCTAACCTCTAACACTGCCTCCAGTCGGGCCTGGAAACATAGACTAGTTTGTATCATCTCACAGAGGTAGAAAAAGAAAAGGTTCCACAGGGCAGCCCTTTATCCTGGTTTTAACTTCAAGGAAAGCAAGATCTGCTTTGTTGGTCAGTAAGGGTGCGATCCCATGTAGAGTCACACTCTTCGACAACCCTTTATACTGTCTCCTGGACTTGCTTTCACGCTTCTGCTTTTCTATCCTTCTTTATAATCTTTTTAAAAATCAGGTGAATTTACCTTATAAAATATGAGAATTCTTTCTGAGAACGTGCACAGAGTGTACCACTTCCCCTCTACGAGGCAATTACATTTCTCCTGCGGGGCTTCTTCCCCATCTGAATGCAGTGCAGAGATCCAAGGTGGAGAATGGAAAGCTAGGTGAAAGGTAGGAGAGAACTGCCCAGAAAGACCCCAAAGCCTGGTTAAGAGCACAGGCTCTAAAACTAAACGGGCTGGGTTCAAATCCCTGCTCAACCACAAGGATATGTGAGCAAGGGCAAATTTGATAACCTTTAAGGGAAGAGCAAGTCTGCTACCTCCAGCTCTGTGCAGATGAGGCTTTCAAGGGCAGCAAAGAGGTCAATGACACTGACCTCCCCAACCTAGCATTCAGCCACTATCTCTTCCCCTATCTCCTCAGCAGGCATAAGGAAATTTTTTTAAAAGGCTATTATTGAAAGATCTAGAAGTGTGGACTCTGCTAATGTATTCCTGTGTTAACTTTGCTCACATTCTCTGCTTGACTCTAAAGCCACAAACCAACCAATTACAAAATATGTCTGTATATCATGTGAGCACAGGGCTGAGCCCAGAGAAAGTGCTCAATAAGTGGTGCTTTCTCTCTCCCCCTCCTCTCCTCTCTTCTCTTCATGTTTCTCCTTCACTCCCTTCTTTCCTCCCAACTATGCCCAAAACAATTAGTGCTGTCTGTAGGTAGGTGTACTCTTTTAGGAAGGAATCTGCTCCCCTTCACCGGAGATGTTCAGGAAGAACAACATTCGAAGACAATTAAAGGAGACTAAAGCACTGAAGAATTATTTGGATTTGATGATTTTTAAAATTTCTCCCAAATTTGAGATATTTTTTCTAATTGGAAAGCGTTCCTTCCCCCCAGGACTCACACATAAAGAAAGTTAGTGGAAAAGAAAAAGATCTTATCATGAAGTGAAGTAAGAACACAAATACTCAATGAATTGTCATAGGTTTTGTCACTTCCATTAACAGAAAAGAGAGGAGGATGTGAGATGACTCAGGTGCTATCTGAATGGGATCCATTCTCTTAGCTGAATTAAATGGGCTATGAATTAATCAATTCAGCCAGCTGATGATAAGGGCAGTTGACTCATACCAGGTGCTGATCAATTTAAGTGAATAATTGATCTACCAGATAGACAAAGAGTTTTATTTTGCCACTGAACTGAGAGTTAATACAGTACACTAGGGAATTGTTCCCTGGCCTCATCTAGCAAAGGACAGACTCAGAATAGGAAAAACGAAAGTACATGAGTACACCAGCAGAAAAGATAACTTTTACCTATCAGTGCCTTGGAGGGGTCCGCTCCTATTCTGAGGAGCCAGGCCACAAAGACAGCAGCATGTTCACCTCCCCCGTATTCAGAGAATTGGGCTAGACATTGGAATCCTGCTTTTATCCAGAAATACAACTCCCTGTGCACTTGACAAAAACTATGTCAGGGCTGTCTATTCCCATGAACCTAGGAGGCCAGTTGAGTTTTGGCTCCATTTCTCAATCTCCTTCCTCTGTGTAAACTTGAGTCCCTTTGTGGGCAAAGCCATCACCTCCCCTGATACTGGTGCTCATGGGCACTTCTCAAATGACTCTGGTAGGAAATTGCTATTTATCTTGCAAATTATATGATACCAAGGTACGTTTATCTTAGAGAAAATCTATTTTTTCCTTTGCTTCGTGTTAATCTTCTAATTTGATAATGACTCTTTGTATTTATATGGCCTTAATAAAGAGCTTTAACTTAAAGTATATAATTATGTTATGCTTCAGAAGAATGGATTAAAATAATATTTTGAAGAAAACATTCAACTTGTTTCTATCCTCTGGAAGAAAAGTTACTGTGCATCTACTTACCATCATAGGTTTGGTAAGGAACAAAAACAAGTATCTATAATAGTAAATATTTACTTATTGTCAAAACCATCAATTAGGATTCTCAGGAACTTATGTCCTCCTGGATTCTTGTCATTGATTAAAAATAGTAACCTAGGCTAGTCCTATTCTAGGAAATGTAAGTTTGTGAATAGAAACTTTATGAAGTTAATTAAAGTTGTCATTTACTGACAGGCATTAACAAACTGGAGAGACATTTGTTCAAACTAACAAATTAATACAGCTCTTCATTAAGTGTGACAAATGAAACAATGATAAAATAACCAATGAATTGAAACTACCTCATTTTTTCTTTTGAACTGAATTATTTTCTCTGTGATGTATGTAGTACCCAGCCTTCCTGCAATTTTATCTGTATTGATATCTATTTACTAAGTATTTGATGTATGCCAGGCATTGTGCTAAGCCTAACTATGTATGATCCTCACAATCCCTCTGCATATTGTCTATGTGACAAATGAAGAAATCCAGGCTCTGAGAAATAAAGTGCATTATTTAAAATTTGCCAGGCAGAAGAACCTAAGGGAGCTGGGATCAGACTGAAAGCTCCATGAGGAAAAAGTGTGCCTGTTTAGTTACTACTCGGTAGTCAGCTCCTGCCTGACAGCCTGGCCCATAACAAGGTTTTCAATAAATATTTATCAATTAAAGGAATGAATGAATACGTAAGCAAAGGTTTGAATTCAAATCCAAAGTTCTTTTCATTTTAGCAAATCTCTTCCTCCAACTTTTACAAAATGGCACCGTTATCGTGCCAAGTTAAAGGGCTCTGAAACCCAAACGGAGTCTAAAC